GGGGGGGGAGGAGGAGGGAGGGGGGGGGGGGCAGAAGATTTCGATGTGCGACTGCTGCTGCCCACATTACCTCGATCAAAGCGACAAGAACAGGAAGAGGAAGGGGGGGGGGGGGGGGGTGTTGTTGAATGCGTGACTGGGCATATACATGTGTAATGTGCTCATATCTGATTGGGTGAAATGATAAGACATAATCGTATTTGGATTATAAAAAAATGGAATGGTGAACGGTCCCCGCCGCTCATGATCGATACATGATATGGGGAAAGATAAAAATGATAAAAGGTAGGGTCACTCTCTTTCTCACACAGAGAGAGAGAGAGAGAGAGAGAGAGAGAGAGAGAGAGAGAGAGAGAGAGAGAGAGAGAGAGAGAGAGAGAGAGACGGCTGTGAAAGGCCGTGATGTGGCGTCAAATCGAGCGCTTAATGTTCGAGAATTATCAGCGCGAGTTATGCAGCTCTGGTTTAGTGAGGGGGATCTCCTGACCGATCCCTCCAGATCCCTACCCTTTACAATCGGGACAATTACTGTATGTTGAATTAAGATTTCGAAATTCTGCCTTGCTATATTGACTATACATATATGTTTCTTTGCTATTCTCTCTCTTGTCCCGATCATTATAATTTTCCTTCACCGCCCGTCATCTTCATCATGATAACGGCGATGGCGTTGATGACGAAGACGATGGCGATGACATTGATGACGACAACAACGAGGGTGAGTTTTTGGGTATGGCGGTGGTGAAGATGAGTGAGGGAGGGGAGGGGCAAGCTGACAGCGATGATGATTGATAATGATTATTGATGACTGATCATGATTGATTGATATGACCATATGATTGATGATGATTGGTGATTACCATCAATCATGATTGATGATTATTGATGATGATTGATGATGATTGATGATGATTGATGATGATTGATGGTACTGATGACAATGACTGACGACGGTGATGGATGATACCCCTCTGGGCATTTAACTGTGACGTTCCTGGCCGCAATTTCGGCGTTTTTTAGGCCGAAAATGTCAGGGCTTACCGTGTTCCCTCCAGTAGGATCTGACGATTTTGCTTCGAAAAACGCCGAAATTGCGGCCAGGAACGTCAAAGTAAAGTGCCCAAACAAGACGTACCTGGCCGCATTTTCAGCGTTTTTTGAAGCACAATCGTCAGATCCTACTGGAGGGAACACGGTAAGCCCTGACGTTTTCGGTTTAAAAAACGCCGAAATTGCGGCCAGGAACGTCAAAGTTAAATGCCCAAACTTCGACGTTCCTGGCCGCACTTCCAACGTTTTTTGAATAAATATCGTCAGATCCTACTGGAGGGAACACGGCAAGCCCTGACAATTTCGGTTTAAAAAACGCCGAAATTGCGGCCGGGAACGTCAAAGTAAAATGGCCAAACTTCGACGTTCCTGGCCGCACTTTCAGCGTGTTTTTAATAAAAATCGTCAGATCCTACTGGAGGGGAACACGGCAAGGCCTGACGTTTTCGGTTTAAAAAACGCCGAAATTGCGGCCAGGAACGTCAAAGTTAAATGAACAAAGGGGTATCATCCATCACCGTCGTTACTCATAGTCATCAGCACCATCAATCATCATCAATCATAATTGCTGAAAGTCGCCAATTATCGTCAATCGTCAATAGTCATCAATAATCATTATCAATCATCATCGTTGTCAGCTTCCCCCTCCCTCCCTCACCCATCTTCGCCACCGCCATACCCAAGAACTCACCCTCGTTGTTGTCGTCATCAATGCCATCGCCATCGTCTTCCTCATCAACGCCATCGCCGTTATCGTTATCTTCGATGATCCACGTCATTACGTCGAGGGTAGGGAGCGTAAGCAATTTTTTATTTATTTGTTATTTTTTTCCGCACGCGGGGACGAGTCCTCGCTGCTGTTTTCGCCGGCTTATCGTCCACGTGGCATAATGCCAATTGCCCGAACGGTTAAAATTGGCATTATGCCACGTGGACGTCCACGTGGCATTATGCTCCTCGGGACGTCCTTTAAATTGGAACGATACAGAGAATGAAGATTAGCATGGCTCCTGCGCAAGGATGACACGCATAACTCGAGAAATGGTCCAAAAAAATAAAAAAAAATAAAAATTTACTCAACCCGCCCAGGTGTCATAATGATAACTGTCGAGGGAAAAAAAAATAAAATAAAAAACTATCGAAGGTGGCGTGGCAGCTGGCGACGTAACGAGACGTTTCCACCTGTCAGGAAAATGCCGGTCTATTCGTGAGTAGGTCATGAGTTTTTTTTCATCCGTTCATTTGTTACCTTTTCCGTTTTTTTTTTTTTTTTTTTTTTTGTAAATTATTAAAATACGATTTGAGGCCGGGGACCTCGCAACTCGATCCGGGGTATCTGACAGCATCAGCCAGCTTAGCTTACAGGCACTTGCCTGCGGAACTCACCACTACAGAGGTCGAAGTTATAGACTAAGTAAGCTACCATTTTTTGACAGACAGTCGATGTTGGTATTGCTGAAGATGGGTATACGGACTTACCGATTGACTGAAGAGACCTAAAAACTTTGCCTGAAATACTTCGGCGAAAGTTATAGTGAAAATTGTGCTGCTTCTGGGGGGACTAGCACGGCCCAGCGGACTTCGTCCTACTACTACTGACACTCTCCTGATGGCCCACAGGGACCCCTTTTTTTTTTTTTTTTTTTTTGGGACCCTATTTACCCGATTGCCCTGACTGACTCTTTTCCGTTTTTCATGTGTCGACCTAGGCTACCAGCCGGGCCGCCCGGGTCACCCTATTTTCGCGGGCGGTCTGGCCGTGCAAGGACCAGGGAAGGTCCCAGCGAAAAAAAAAAAAAAAAAACCGAAAAGAGTATGCTATGCAGAAAAATAAACTGAACTGAACAACTTTTGCCTCAGGGTCACATCAAAATTCGTTACCAGATTTCAAAAAAAATTAAAAAATATATATATAACAATTCAAAATTTCCTGTTTTTCTTTTTTTCGCATTTGCGCTCTGATATTCATGTGATGATATATATATATATATATTTTTTATTTTTTTTTTGGACCCGGCCGGGCAAGTGATCCCAGGCCACTCTGGTAGCCTAGGTGTCGACATTGTATTCCTCTTTATTTTAAATTTAATTATATCATATGATCGTTTGCGGTGAACGACGATGTATTACCCCTTTGGGCATTTAACTTTGCCACTTTCGGTTCAAAATTTCGGCGTGTTTTTTTAATCGAAATCGTCAGGTCCTACTGGCGGAAACCCGGAATAAGCCATGACGATTTCGGTTCAAAAAATGCCGAAATTGCGGCCAGGAACATCAAACTTACTGTAAATGCCCAAAGGAGTAATTTATTTTTCAAGGCAAGTTGGCAGTTCAAAAGAATAGTGCCGCGGCCCTGGTTCAGGTTTAGCACAGGTTGCAAAGAAGACATGACCACGTAAAGCACACGCAGCACACACGCAGCACACATGCAACACAAACGCAGCACACAAGCCGCAAACATGCAGCACACACGCAGCACACAGGCTGCATACAGGCTGCATACAGGTAGCACAGACGTAGCACAGACGTAGCACACAGGCAGCACACAGGCAGCACACAGGCAGCACACACAACGCACGCGCAAAGCACAACATATGGCACAGTCAAAGCACACACAAAGCACACACAAAGCACACAGAGCACACACAAAGCATGCGCAAAGCACACAGGGCACAGACAGAGCACACACAACGCACGATTAAAGCACAGCACAAACCACACAATGCACGTGCAAAGCACAACATATAGCACAGCGCAAAGCACACACACACACACATGTCCGAACACCCATAACAAAGACGCATGCACGGACGCACCCACGCACGCACGCACGCGCGCGCACTCACAAAGACACGCTGTCTTACAAGAGAAACATAGGCACATAGCATGCACGTGCATGCATCGGTCCCAAAGACAACTGGATTTGTTTTTCCTTCTTTTTCTAACGGGGATGTAATGTGTAGTTGAGGAGCTTCTGCTCCTAGAGACTATGTGAAACCTCTAGAGGGGGAGGAGGGGGGGACATCTAGGGGGGGGGGAAGAAAGAAAGAAATTTCTAGAGGGAAGCACGTGCTGCGTGTTGTCACTGCTTCGAACTAGATGTTCCTTTTTTTTTTGCGTGTTTCTTTTTTTGTTTTTGCTTACTTTTTCAGTTGTAGTTCATCAAAATCCTAAACCCCTGGTGCGCCATCCCTAAACCCTAGAACGGCAGCAGCTTCTAGAGTTTTTTTTTTTTTTTTTTTTTTTTTTTTTTTTTTTTTTTTTTTGGGCGCAGCTTCTGGGGGTAGTTTCTGCGAAGAATAAATTGCTTCAAATTGAAAATTTGAAAAATCATTAACAGCAACCGGAACGTATATTTAGGGTTCTACGGTGGTCCCCCGAATACAACACATGCTCGAACATGACTGTATCACACCGGAAAGATGGGTATTATACGTACGTTGATGATCCAGGTGCGTTGTATTCGGGGAGG